AGAGCCGCTGGTGGGTGGGAGGTGCTGGGGGGAGAGGGAGGCACTGGTGGGTGCTGAGCACCAACTATTTTTTTTCCATGGGTGCGCCAGCCCCAGAGAACCCACGGAGTTGGTGCCTATGACAACAATGGCCCCTCCAGTGGACTTCCTGGCTCCAAATTGATTCCTGATTGACCAATAGCAATCTGACATTGCAAGTTTCTACAGTGCAATTGCCTCTCGTTCCTCAGCTGTAGCGCAGCTCTCATTTTGGTGTCCCTGTGCTGGAGGGCTGTGACGAGTTCAGTACCAGAGCCAGAAATGTGGCCTTGCTTATCCAAAAGCTCTGCAGCCACTGCTCATCCTCCCAAACCTGCATGACGATGTGATCCCACCATTCACTGCTTGTTTCTCGGGCCCAGAACCGGTGCTCCACCGTCTCCAGCTACTCCATGAATGCCACCAACAACCTTGAATTGTTTCTTTTTATGTCCCACAGGAATCTAGCCTCCAAGGAATCGTCATGTTCCCCACAACTCCTTGTTGTGCAAGTGCCATGCTTCTGTCAGGGATGGTGGACAGCAAGGAGGAATGCATGGGTTTGTGAGATTTTGAAAAGAAGGCACAAAAATGTGGGATGAAGATGAAATTATGGGATGGAGAACTCTACATTATGGGAAGCTGATCCCATGCTCATATTCACCCCTGCGTGGCTCATTTTGTCACCATCAGGCATTGCAAAAACTTCCCAAAAGACCCTGCACTCGATGATGGTGAGTTGCGTAGTGGGATACCTACCCATGGTGCACTGCACTCTGCATTGCTACAAACGCTCATGGTGAGGACACACACCAGTGACACAAGGAGCCAAGCACACACAAGCAATATAATAACTGCAGCAGCTGTATGCTGGCATAATTTAGGTTGACATAAATTTGGAATGTCGAGATGGCCTTAGTCTCTGAGTACTGAAAGAACTCTCTGAGAATGTAGAAATACATCTGTTAATTAGTTTATTGTATAGTTGGTTAAAAACATGAATTTCTAGCCTGTGGGAAATTCTGATATTTCAAAATTTATTTTGAGTATCAAAAAATTCCAAAAAATGTTTATGTGGAAATGTCAAAACATTTCTTTAGCTATTTTTGATCAAAATGAAACATTTTGAGATTTGAATTGAAATGATTCCATTTGGTGAACTAAATTAAATGTTTTGTTTTGGCTTGGTTCAACATTAATGTATGTCCCTCTGACCTGCTGCTCCTTAAAGATTCCATACCTGCCTGCTGGCTCCTGGGATCAGGTTTGCCATGGCAAGACTCCTCCTGACCAAAGTAAAGACCTCTTCTGGAGCAGAAAGAAATCAATTGCAGCTGGCATGAATGGGGGATACAGACAGCCCTCTCATACCCTTCATCTCCTCTTATCTCTATTGCTTCTCCCATATCCCGGCTCACCACATCCCCATTGGCCTTCCAAGGCCCCCCACATCCGTCTTCATCACCACCGTATGACCTCCTCACTGTTGTATTAATTTAGATGGAATAAATAGGCCGAAAGTATTAACATAACTCAGTCACTGTCCAGCCTTAAACATTGTTAACAAAGGTTCAGGGTTTGGTATGTAGATAATGCAGTCACTTAGTACCATGGCAAACACAATTACAAGTCCTTTTAACCTTTTATTAAAGATACAAAAAAGAAGGGAAAATGGATAAAGCATTTGAAATGTAAACCATTAAGAAAGGATTTCATTTTAACAACGCTTCTTGTTCCCTTTAGCTTTTAGAAGGACCCCCTGGTTTGGCACTCTGTTAGATGGTATTAAAGACTGTAATAACTGCCGCTTTGGCGGAAAGAAGAGTTAGTTGAGATGAGTTGGAGCTGTTGTTATGCCTGCTGGTGAAGGCCATTCCCATTTCATCTGAGGAGGTAATTGTCACCTTTATCAGCTCCAGCAGAATCCCAATGTTATCTGGGTCCCCCTGTCTACCCTGGCTTGGATTAGGACAAAGAAGGTCTGGGGATGACCAGGTAGCAAGTGTGGAGGGTGTGTGAACCCAAATAAGCTATGGGCAAAATAAAGAAGCAAACCTGTTAAGTATAGACAAGGTCTTAATAGGCTTAATTGAGATTGTGAAAGAGAAAGCGATTAAGAGGTGACATGTTCACAGTACGTTAGAACGTACAATACGAGAACATATCTGATAGAAGTCTCTTCATTCTAGTAGACGACAGGTATAGCTACACTGCAACTGTGAGCAAGCCTCACAGACTGAGTAGCAGGGCTTGAGTTAGCATGCTAAAATAAAATAGCCCTATGGAAACTGCTGCACCACCAGAGACTATGGCTAGCCACGTGAGCTGGTGTAACATTGACAGACCCCGGTCATCAGCAGGATTGAACCCGAGACCTCCGGAGCTGCTACTGCATGAGCTAAAAGCCACTTGGCCTTTAGTTAAGGTTGTAGAGCAGACTCCTTAATCTCTAAGTGGTCTTGGTGCCACTAGAGGGGACAGAGCACCACACCCAGGAGGTGTGTGGGTTACACTGGGACCTATCAAACCCCCTGGAACTGAGTTCAGGTGGTTAGACCACACCTTTGCCAGTGCAGCAACTTCCATGCTGCTATTTTTAGCACACTAATTTGAGCCCTGCTAGCACAAATCTGACTACCCAGATTGGGAGGCTTGTTCCCGCTGCAATGCAGACATACCCATGCGGTGTCATCACTGCAGAGCTGACCTGGATTTTTACCCATGTTTTGCCCCTAACCCTTCTACCGTCCACACACAGAAGCCTCTGACCTGGGTTTGGTGGTGCTTTACATCCAGGCTAGTTGACCCAGCTGGAGGTACAGGTTAGACTAGCGCCCACATTCCACTTTAACTCAGGCAGTAATCCTCCCAGTTTGCAATGTGGATACAGGCAAAGACATAATGAAATCTAATGGCTGGAAACTGAAGCCATACAACTTCAAACTGGAAACAAAATGCACATTTTTAATGGGTAATTAACCATTGGAACAATTTATCAAGAAATGTGGTAGAGTCTCAATCACCTGACAATTTTAAATCAAGATTGGTTGTCTTTCTAAAGTATTTGCTGTTGTTCAACCCCAAATTATTAAACTTGATGCAGGAATTACTGAGTGAAATTCTCTGGCCTATGTTATGCAGGAGGTCAGATTTGATTATCACAACAGTAACAGTTCCTTCTGATTTTAAAATCTATGAATTCCAGGATTACAGATGCTCAGAAAATGGAATTTGAATCTTGGAAGGAATTCTTGCATTTTGATATTTTTTCTATTCCAAATTAGAACAAAAAGCCTAAACTTACAAAATTTCCTGCTGCACAAAAAGTAAAAAAAAAAAAAAAAAAAATCAATTCAGGACCATTGAAACATTTCATTTTGATAATGTTGAATAAAGTAATTTATACATAAAAATTATTTGATAATGCTGAATCATTTTGATAATGCTGAAACAATTAATATATGAAAGTTTAAATTAAATGATAAAATCAAAATTAAACATATCAAAAAATGACCAATTATTTTGACTTTTTCTATCAAAAATGTAATTGAAATTGACATATTCCCATAAAATGTTTTGATTTTGATTAAACTGCATTTTTCAACAGAAAACTATTCTATCAGGAATTTTTCACCCAGCTCAACCCTAGACTCCTCACAGTACCCCAATATTATCACTAAGCCCTTCCTACAATCTATGTTCCCTTTCATACAGGAAATAATAGTAGTCAGTTAAGGGCCAGATTCACCAGTATGCTCTAGCTGCTTTGTGTTCCTCTGGTGATGCAAAGTAGGTGCTGCACCTGCAAGCTTTATTTAACTGGTCAGTATGCTCCAGCTGTTTTGCATAGCTCTAGCGTTCTGCAAAGTAGCCAGAGCATGATAGTCAGTGGCTGTGGCCCTAAAAGTCAACAACAGATTGATATTTCATGTCTGCAGCTCATTAGAGAAGTCACGTTGGGTAGCATTTTTAATGTCTTTCTGGTTTTATCTTCATGCATGGTATTTTTAAATAAAAAAAATCCCAGGCAAAAACCTATGTTCATTTGGAGTTAAGAATTTAAAATAAGGTCATATAGAGCAGAATTAGGATGTTTTGGTGCTTCAGCTGTTTATTTCTATACTTTAACGAGTCTGTGTTTCTTTGCATTTAACCCTGACTCTAAAGTTCTGGGGTTTATAATGCCAATTTTGGAACTAATTACAAGAGCTCTAAATATTGCTGTATTCTTAAGTTACCGGTACATGTTCTCACTTTAATGCAGTTCCTGTCTCGGAATATTCATTACAGTGTTGTGGATTTAGGGTGACCAGATGTCCCGATTTTATAGGGACAGTCCTGATTTTTGGGTCTTTTTCTTATATAGGCTCCTATTTCCCTCCACCCCCTCCCGATTTTTCATGCTTGCTGTCTGGCCACCCTACGTGGACTGGCAAGCTCCGCTGGAAGAAAGAGACTCCATCACTCAGACCTAGTCCAAGCCTCACTCGTGGGCATGGAGGGTTTTGCTTTGTGTGTTTCTATGAGACGATTAAAGAACCTCCCTCATTCACTGGCTTCTCATCAGCCTGGGACATAGCCCAGGGCGGACTACAGCTCCCGGCGTGCACCGCTCATCAGGCATTACACCCTGGGACGTGTAGTCACTACAGCGAGCCGCACCCCTCTTCACACTGAGCTTGCCTCTCTCCGCTGACTTCCCCTACATTCTTCCCCCTGCTCGCTTTAGTGGTCCCTCCCAAAGTTCCATGCAGAGCGCTTCAGGAAGGTCCTATCCACGGGAACCTGAGGGGGGAGGAGAATAAAGGGAGGGACGGCCGGTGACTGATGTTCTGTACAACCAATCACAGAGAAGCTTTTGAACAAATAGCCAATGGTAGGAGCCGGGGGTGGGGTCGGACTCTGAGTGCGGGATAAGAAAATGCTGAGTGGCGCTCCCGCGCTTGCGCGGGAGGAGGGGGGTGGGGGTTGGTATCGTCGTGTCCCTTCTCTGACCGTGTCGGTGGCGGCGGCGGCTGCAGGGACTGCTGTGGGGAGGGGCGAGCGGCCGGAGGCAGGATGGAGAAGGCGGCCGGGTGGCGCTGAGCCGGAGGGAAGTTGTGTGAGGGGAGGCTTCGGGATTGGGGGAGGCGGGCGGCCTGAGAGAGCCGAGGCGGCGGCGGGGATCGTGTGGGGGCGGCCGGGGCTCGGGCTCCGGCTCGGCAGGCAGGATGGAGCAAGAGGAGATCCTGAGGAAATTCATCCAGCGCGTCCAGGCCATGAAGGACACGGACCACAATGGGGACGACAACTTCGCCAGCGACTTCATGGTGAGGGGGGTGGGAGCGCTCAGCTCCCATCGCTGCCTGGGGGCAGGGGAGAGGGTCCCGTGTGGGCTGGGCAGGAGAAGCGGGCGGAGAGGAGATGGGTGGGGTGTGTATGGGGTGGGGGGAGGTGTAGCATCCCCCTGCGTGAGCTGCCATTGTAGCCCTCTCAGCCCGTGTCCTAAGCTCTCCTGTTGTGTAACCCGGAGCCGGGACATTGCCCCAGCTCCGGTTTGGGGGAGCGGGCGCTGGCCTGCAGCCTCTCGTGTAAGGGCTGCTCTTGCGATCCCCAGCCGGAACCCTTCTTTGGGAGGAGGTAGGAGAGTGGATACCCTCCAGTGTCTTCTCGCTAACCACGTCAGTCTGCTATTGTCACAGCAGCCCAGAACCGCCTCTCCTGAACCCAGCCGCTTTCCTGAGGCGATAAGGAGGGTCCTGGGTACTCTCGGTGCGGGTGCTGTCTTGTTCCTTTCCAGGATATGTCTTTGTGGCCTCTTCTGTCGGCGATAGTGGGGGGTCATAATGGCTACTTTGGGTAGTCTGGCATCTTCTGTCCTCAGTTATTTGTCGTTGTAACCCCCTTTTGATCCTTTCCGAGAAAATATGGTAGGTGTGTTCTTGGAGGCTAGCATCTTTCCCTCAACTCCCCCTCCCACTGCAACCCCTAGGCTATATCCCTCATCCTCTCTTCCTTTGAGATCACTTCACCAGCAGCCTTCCTGTAGCCTGTGTCTGCATGTGCATACAGGAGGAGAGGGGATATAATCTAGAGTCAGGTTTATTCTCTGTTTGTTTGGTTTTTTTTATCTGTTTTTCCTTATTCTGACGCTTAAAATGCTTGAAATGATTTGATCAGCTGAGTGGGTGATCTGAGCTGGGAACAATGGACCTCATTAGGTGAATATGTCAGTGTGACTTTAAATGTTGTTTAAACATTTAATATGAAATATAACTTAACCTGGTTTTGGGGTGGTGGGTTAGCAGACTGCATGTACAATATGCGGCTGTAGCCTGTTGTATTACCTGGTGGGGTTTAGAATAAAAATGTATGTATTTTTAAAAAGAAAAGGAGTAATTGTGGCACCTTAGAGACGAACCAATTTATTTGAGCATAAGCTTTCGTGAGCTACAGCTCACTTCATCGTAGCTCACGAAAGCTTATGCTCAAATAAATTGGTTAGTCTCTAAGGTGCCACAAGTACTCCTTTTCTTTTTGCGAATACAGACTAACACGGCTGTTACTCTGAAACTTATGTATTTTTAGTCTTTTTAGATCTCATTTTGATAATAGTCTGGGAACAAAAAAATCTGGATGTAAATGTCACATCAGGGATTGTCTAAAATGTGGGGAGGAGGCTGTGGATATTGTGCAAGACTCAGGGGCGTTGGGAGCAGTTTCAGGTCTGAGGAATGGAAGAGGAAGTGGACTTTGGGAAGTAACTATTTCATACAGGGTGGGCAGGGCCTGGATGGGAAACAAGAATACCATTTGGAAAAGATTTTATTGATCCTGGTCCACTGAACTAGCCATATGAATAGGGAAGGAAGGAGGAAACCACATGTAAACCAAGATTGATTTAAGAGGTATAAATTCTTAGTTTGCTTTACTTTCCTTGCAAATTACATTAAGATGTAGCCTTAAATCTATTGGATTCCAATCCTTTTAATCTGTTTAAATTAATCTTGAAAATATGAGTAATTAAAGGAACTCCTGTTTAACACACAGACTGACATCCAGTTACATTGTGCTGGTAAGGCTGACCATTGTTCTAAGTAAAGGAAGTGTATGTATGTGTGTATATTAAAAAAACAGAAATGGAAAAAATATGTAAACTGAATGCTTTAAACAGGGTTGGATTTAGTCTTTTTACAGAGCAAATATTTGACAATATAAGAACTCCTGTATTTTATAGCTACAGTTTTGCTATTTCATATTTGATCTGGCAGCCCAGAATTAAAGTTGCAGTATACTAAGGGATACCAACTTAAAATACATATGTAGTAATGTTTTTTACTTACTATTACAAGTAACATTTAGGTTATTAAGAAAGATTTGAAAACTTTTCTGTTGTGCATTTATTTGACAGCACTCTGTGTAATTAATGTTGCTATTTTCAGCTGTGTAGTTGGTGGTCTTCCTCTGTTTTTATGGAACTTACCCATAGCCACAAGCATGGAAAACCTTTATAAAAAAATGTTGTTGTAAAACCAAAAATTTGCTGAGAACTGAAGGGCGGGTGTGCTACCTGAAAGAACTCTCAGGCCTTCAGGAGAGTGTGGGGTGGGAGAGACTAGATTCAAAGTTTCTGATGTCCTTTTTAACATTTTCTGTTTGTAACTCAATGGCACATTTCTATTTCTGGGAGAAAAAAAAAACTTTGACTAATATGTTAAAGGAGAGTTGGGGAGCCAGAATATTGTAGTTAAAGTGTTCTAGTACTATACTGAAGGACTTTTCTTTCATGTTTCTGTTTCACAGGCAGATGTAAAAGGGTCTGACCACAAGAATGCAAATAAGTAGTTTATCATTGTATGGCTACTGCATTTTTGCCACACCTATTTTACGTAGCAACATTAAAGCTTCTGTCTTTGAGATTTTGAGGGAATGGAGAAGGGTGAAGAGGAGGTGGTGAGAGAAACTAACGGGAGAAATAGTCTCTCCTCCTTCAGTTTTAAAGATAAGGAGAGACGATGCAGAGGAGTGTTTTTTTGTTTTTTGTTTTTGGGGGTGGGGTGGGGTGGGGGGAGGCAGTGCCTTCACATTTAAGGACAGGAAGTACTGTTGCTGCTAAGCAGTGGCAAGTTGATGGAAAAAGAATTGCTGTTACTCGGCACTCTGCTTCCAAGCCGAAGTGGAGTCTAAAAATAGGAGTGGAGTGGTGGATGAATGGAATTGAAAAGAGTTCTTTCATGTCTTAGTTCTTCCCATAGATGATGATTATAGTGGCCTACATTAGTTTATTCAATCAAGGTTAAAAAGACTCACTACTTTATAGATAGGTGTCAGGGATTTGTTGGGAGGAGGAGTTAAGGAAGATGATGTGGCTATATGATCGATTTAACTAATAATCTACTAATCATCCTGGATGTATATGATGTTAAAAGGCAAAAATGTTAATGAATTCAACAGCCTAATAATGCTGCTGATATAACTGAAAATCCATTGGAAGGGTGAAACTAGAATGTAGTATGACTAATGGAACAGATAGGTGAAATATAAGATGACTGACCTTAGAATCATAGAAATGGAAGGGACCTGGAGAGGTCATCTAGACCTGCCTTGAGTGCAGGGGACTGGACAAGTATTATCTAGACTATCCCTGAGAGGTGTTTGTCCAACCTGCTCTTAAAAATCCCCAATGATGGAGATTCCACAAGCTCCCTAGGCAATTTATTCCAGTGCTTAAGCACTCTGACAGTTCGGAAGTTTTTCCTAATGTCCAGCTTAAACCGCTCTTGCTGCAATTTTATCCGACTGCTTCTTGTCCTATCCTCAGAGGTGAAGAAGAGCAGTTCTTCTCCCTCCTCCTTATAACAACCTCCTATGTACTTGAAAACTGTTATGTCCCCTTTCAGTCTTCTCTTATCCAGACTAAACAAACCCAATTATTTCAATCCTCCCTCATAGGTCATGTTTTCTAGACCTTTAAACATTTTTATTGCTCTTCTCTGTACTTTCTCCAATTTGTCCACATCTTTCCTGAAATGTGGCACCCAGAACTGGAGGCAGTACTCCAGTTGAGGCCTACTCAGCACGGAGTAGAGCGGAAGAATTACTTCTCATGTCTTGCTTACAATACTTGTGCTAATACATCCCATAATTATGTTTGCTTTTTTTTACAACTGCATTACACTGTTGACTCATATTTAGCTTGTGATCCACTATGACCCCCAGATCCCTTCCTGCAGTACTCCTTCCTAGGCAGTCATTTCCCATTTTGTATGTATGCAATTGATTGTTCCTTCCTAAGTGGAATATTTTGCATTTGTCCTTCTTGAATTTCATCCTGTTTACTTCAGACCATTTCTCCAGTTTGTCCAGATCATTTTGAATTTTAATCCTATCCTTCAAAGCACTTGCAACCCCTCCCAGCTTGGTATTGTCCGCAAACTTTAAGTGTATTCTGTATTCCATTATCTGAATCATTGATCAAGATATTGAACAGAACCAGACCCAGAACTGATCCCTGTGGGACTCCACTTGTTATGCCCTTCCAGCATGACACTGAACCACTGATAACTACTCTCTGGGAATGATTTTCCAACCAGTTATGCACCCACCTTATAGTAGCTCCATCTAGGTTGTATTTCCCTAGTTTGTTTATGAGACGGTCATGGAGACAGTATCAAAAGCCTTACTAAAGTCTAGATATACCATATCTACCGCTTTCCCCCCATCCATAAGGCTTGTCACCCTGTCAAAGAAAGCTATCAGGTTGGTTTAGGGTAGTGATAGCCAGAGAGCAAGTGTGAAAAATCGGGATGGGGGTGTGGGGTAATAGGAACCTGTGTAAGAAAAGCCCCAAATATTGGGATTGTCCCTATAAAATTGGGACATCTGGTCACCCCAGGTTGGTTTGATATGATTTGTTCTTGACAAATCCATTCTGACTGTTGTTTATCACCTTATTATCTTCTAGGTGTAGGAATACAAGGAATACTTACAAAGTATGATATAATCCAGGTGTCATTGGCTAGTCTTTTACAGAGAGAACCAAATCCATTCGGACAGAAGTAAATGAATTTGATTTTGATAATCATGCTTCCAAGTACAAAAAGTGCCAGTACTTTATTAGCAGATCGCTTGTCAAGTGTTTCGTATGTACAATCTAGCTGTAAGTGAACAGTGTTACTCAGAATTGTTTATTGAAAAGAGTAAGCTTGCTTGCTGCTGTACAAACATGGAAAGCATGGCCTAATCCTTGGTTTCTACAAAGTATGTGTGTCTAGTATGTATGTGTGAGAGAGAGGTTGAAGGTCAAAGCTTTCTATGGCAGTGGTGTAAA